CACCATTCCAGAGAAATGCTCACTGACCCTCGACCAGAAGCCACATTTAGAAATTCAGAACTGTCTTCCTGACTGCAGAAGACATTGATCCTCATGGTCTCATTGCTCTCCATATCACCTTCCTCCCCTCTAATCTGATCCCGTCACCCTTTCCCAATGAGCAGTGTCTGAATCCACATGCTCTGTGTCCCCTTGATGAGACACCAGAGTCTTGGCTTTCATTTCTCAGGGCCTTAGAAGTAGCTTTCCCTATCTACAGCCAGCAGAGATACACACAGGGTATAGGCTCATACTGGTAGCAAGGCAGACCATCCCCAAGCTCAAGATACATTTGGGCAGATTTCTATGAGGTGATGATACATGACACATGGCTCCAGGCTTCTTTTTACTAGTAGTACTAGTAGTAGTTTTTTTAAACAGGTTCTTACTATGTAGCCCTGGCTGGCCTCGAACTTAAAGATCTGCCTACTTTGGCCTCCCAAGTAATAGGATCAAAAGTGTCCATCACCAGGTGAGGGCTCTGCTTTTTTTTTTTTTTTTTTTTTTTCTCCTTAAAGCTTTTACTTTGATACATCAGGGAAAAACCTTACAGGTTCACATGGGAAAAATAGACATAATCACAGGGAAGCTAACCTAATCAGCAAACATTGATGCCTATCAGCTAATGTTAAAGTTGAAGTTCTGAGAGTTTGACATGCTACAGGGCTAAAAGGAGCAAATTAGTATTCTCCTTCCTCATTCTCTCCTTCAACAGAATCCACACCAACCTCCTCATAATTTTCTCCAGGGTAGCCATGTCCTCACCGGCCTCAGAGAACTCCCCTTCCTCCATGCCCTCACCCACATACCAGTGCACAAAGGCATGCTTGGCATACATCAGATCAAACTTGTGGTTGAGATGGGCCCAGGCCTCAGCAATGGCTGTGGTGTTGCTCAGTATGCACACAGCTCGCTGTACCTTGGCTAGGTCTCCACCAGGTGCCACAGTGGGAGGCTGGTAATTGATGCTGACCTTGAAACCAGTGGGGCGTCAATCCACAAACTGGTTGGTTTTGATGGTGGCAATGGCAGCATTAATATCTTTGGGAACCACATCACCAGGGTACAACAGGCAGCAAGCCATGTATTTTCTATGGCGAGGGTCACATTTCACCATCTGGTTGGCTGGCTCAAAACGTAAGCTGCTCGTGGTAGGCTTTCTCAGCAGACATGACTGAGCATATGTGGCCAGAGGGAAGTGGATTCGGGGGTAGGGCACCAGGTTGGTCTGGGCTCTACATTCAGGGCTCCATCAAATCTCAGGGAAGCAGTGATGGAAGATACAATCTGGCTAATAAGGTGGTTAAGGTTAGTGTAGGTTGGGCACTCGATATCAAGGTTTCTACAACAGATGTCGTAGATGGCCTCATTGTCTACCATGAAGGCACAATCAGAGTGTTCCAGTGTGGTGTGAGTGTGAGGATGGAATTGTAGGGCTCAACAACAGTGGTGGAAACCTGGGGGGCTGGGTAGATGGAGAACCCCAGCTTGGACTTCTTTCCATAATCAACAGAAAGCCATTCCATCAGCAGGGAGGTGAGGTCAGAGCCAGTTCCCCCACCAAAGCAGCTTGCGAATTTGGTCCAAGACGAGGTCAATGATCTCTTTGCCAATGGTGTAGTGCCCACGGGCACAGTTATTGGCAGCATCTTCCTTGCTTGTGATGAGCTGCTCAGGGTGGAAGAGCTGGCGGTAGGTACCAGTGCGAACTTCATCAATGACCGTGGGTTCCAGGTCTACAAACACTGCCCTGGGCGTATGCTTGCCAGTGCCTGACTCACTGAAGAAGGTATTGAAGGAGTCATCTCCCCCAATGGTCTTGTCACTTGGCATCTGGCCATCAGGCCAGATGCCACGTTCCAGGCAGTAGAGCTCTTAGCAGGCAGGCATTGCCGATCTGAACACCAGCCTGGCCAACATGGACAGAGATGCACTCATACATATTTGGTCCTTAAAGAGGTCGGCGGAAATGGAGGAAGTGAAGGGAGGGCGACAGAGATCTCCCACTAACAGACTGCCAAGGAGTCAGGGGGAGAAGTTGAGGGCTCTGCTTTTATCGAAAAGGATTAGTGATCTTCTAAAAGAGGCCCTTGGGGGCTGGAGAGTTGGCTCAGTGGTTAAGAGCACTGACTGCTCTTGCAGAGGACTCAGGTTCCGTTCCCAGCACCCACATGACGACTAACAACCACCTGTAGCTTCAGTCCCAGAAGATCCAACACCTCTTCTGACCTCCATGGGCATTGCACTGACCTCCATGGGTGCACTTACATACATACATACATACATACATACATACATACATACATACAGGCAATACACTCATACACATAAAATAAAAACATCTTTTTAAGGGGCTGGGGAGATGGCTCAGCAGTTAAGAACACTGACTGCTCTTGCAGAGGACTCGGATTCGATTCCCAGCACCCACATGGCAGCTAACCATAATTCCAGTTTCAGGGGAGTCTGACGCCCTCTTCTGACCTCCATGACATTGCACAATACGTGTGCATTCATACATGCAGGCGATACACTTGTACACATAAATAATAAAATATTTTTTTAAAAAAAGAGGCCCCTGGGGGGCTGGAGAGACGGCTCAGTGGTTAAGAGCACTGACTGCTCTTGCAGAGGACAAGGGGTTCGATTCGGGGTTAGATGGCCATATGTATGATCTTATCGTTGATGCTCCAGTGATGTCAAATGTTCAAAGTCATTATCTAAAAAGCCGTATGTATACCGGAGTCAGCTGAAACCCCATGACCATTGCTGTACAGAATATGTATCTCAGGGTATGTAACTGGAGTGGAATGGAAGCCATAGCTAGAAGACCTGGATTGGAATCCTGGCAAACTCCCTCAAGTTCTCTCATTTACTTTCTTTTTTTCATTAATGAAGCAGGATTAAAAATGACACTTGCATCAGGGGACTGTGAAGACTAAACGGGGACGCTCCTTATGGGTTCTCCACTAACACCGCTATTTAGAGCCCAGTGGCGCAGCTTACTTAATAGAGTCCTGAGCCTCAGATGTGAACTGGCAAAGCAGGAGGAGAAAGAACCCTGGTGCTGCAGGGATCTAGATGACATGCCTCTCTTTTCTGGAAATGCCTGGCCTCATGACTTCTGTTTTCCTAAGAATCCTTCTCTCCAGGACTAAGTGTTGTTGCTCTGCCTGCTGTTGACCTAGAGTTAGGCATCTAAGGGCTTCTCACCTCACTTTCTCCAAGAAGCAGAGTCTTCTAGCCTGGGCTACAGAGCAATTCAAGGCCGGCCTGGGCTACATAGGAAGACCCTGTCTCCAAAACAGAACAAAATCAAACCAAACCAAAGCAGCCTTTTGGTGCTCCTCACCATGAGCTTCTCTTCCTTATTAATATTCCAAGTGTGGGGTTTTGTTGTTGTTTTGTGTTTTTGAATCAGGGTCTCAGCTAGCCCAGGCAGGCCTTGAACTCTCATTGTAGCTAATGATAACCCTGAGCCTTTGATCCTCCTGAGTTCTAAGATTCTAGGCCTGTGCCACTAAGTCCAGTTCACGTGGTGCTAAGGATCAAACCTAGGGCTTTGTGCTTGCTAGGAAAGCACTCTACCAAGTGAGCTGCAGTTCTCCTGCCACCTCCCAGGGGTGCCAAGATTCCCCTCCTCACGGCAAGGGAAGTGCCCAAAGGTTAGGGTATGGGAAGGTGGCCAGAGCACAACGATGAGCTCTAGCTGTCTGGGCTCTAACCCATCTCAGCTGTCGCTCACTAGCTTTGTAACCCTGAGAAAATTACCGAGCCTTTAAGCGCTGTCTTCTTATTGGTTAAGAGTAATACTATAATGGACAGCCACTGCTTATTCCTAATCAATAACCAGTCCTACTTCGAACTGCCCAGTTGTGCTTTCGTACTTCATAACTGTCAGTATTAGGGGCAGAATGGGACTCAAGCTAGCTAGTTACATGCTTGCTAGAGATGAACTTTCATGGGATTTCCCAGAGACTGACTCCTACTGGAGTTCATTCATTCAGGAGGCCTGATAAGTGTTCTTGTTCCTTATGCTAGATCTGCTTCTCCATCCTGTGAGCTCTCACAGTAACCTGCTCCACTACAGCTGGTGAATTCCTGTTTAAGTGCACTAAAGTCAAAATTTTAGATTTATTTTAGTGTGTATGTCTGGGCTTGTGTGTGTGTGTGTGTGTGTGTGTGTGTGTGTGTGTGTGTGTTTTAGTTTATGTGGAGGCCAGAAGAGGGCATCTGATCCCCCGAAGCTTCAGTTACAGTTACAGGTGGTTGTGAACTGCCCCATGTGGGTGCTGGAAGCCCAATTTGGGTCCTCTGCAAGAACATCAAGAGTTCTTAATCACCGAGCAATATTTCCAGTCCCCAACATCAAAGTCTATTTTTTTTTTTTTTTTTGGTCTTTTTGAGACAGGGTCTCCTTATAGCCCCAATTGGCCTGGAACTCACTATGTAGACCAGGCTGGTTTTGAACTCACAGAGATCTGTCTGACTCTGCCTCCCGAGTGCTTGGATTAAAGGTGTGTACCACCATGCCTGGCTGAAAGTCAATTTTTTTTTTTTTTTTGGTCTTTTTGAGACAGGGTCTTCCTGTAGCTCCAGCTGTCCTGGAACTCACTATGTAGACCAGGCTGGCCTTGAACTCACAGAGATCCGCCTGCCTCTGCCGCCCAAGTGCTGGGACTACAGGCGTGTGCCACCACACTTGGCTGAAAGTTAATTTTTATAGCTCTCAACAACAAAGCCTTAATTGCTCCAAACATCTACTTTGCAGTTGTAAGGCTAAAGTACAGGGAAGTGTGTGAAGCTGCTAGCAGGGTCCTGGAACCGAGCAAGCAGGGGTTCTTATTTGTATACTTGGGGGCAGGGCACCGACTGGAAGAAGGTGTTGTTACTGGTTTGTGTTCTGTTGAGCAAAGCCTTCTCTCAAGCGCTAAAAGGGTAACAGAAGGGAGGGAAGTCCAGGCTATGATATGCTCATTTATTCAAAATGTCTTTATTGAAACAGAATGATAGAGCAAGAAAGAATGGGGTCTGGGACGACGTCTTTGGGCACAGGATGGAGCCCAGACCCAGTGGTTACAGTGTAGTGCTCTCCCCGTGTCCCGATTCTTGCTGACTAAGTGAACACAAAGCAGGGAGGAGATGAGGTTGGGAACCCTCCAAGCACTCCTTGATGGCTGGCGTGAGGTGTCTCTGAGCCTTTTGGGTGGCCCTGCCTTTCTGTTCTATCTTGCCAGGGCCCTTTGCACCTTTCCGTATGGGCCAGCCTCCCGCCAGTGCTCAGAAGCTGCTCAGAGGGCAGGGTTGGGAGTGGCTAGTAGTGGGACATGGTCACAGCGGCTAGGTGGTGGCTGCCGCTGCAGGGAAGGCCTGCGGCACAGTTCCCCATCCCGGAGCACCTCAGGCAGAAGCTTGCGCTTGGTCTCCGGCAGGAGCATAATGCTGAGGATGCAGAGGAGGGCACAGGCCGCCAGAACCACATGCTGAAGGAAGGCTCCATGGCCCATGTGGAGGCGCTGGGCTGGACCACTCAGACCACCAAGCGCCCCAAGTGCCATGATTAGGCCCAGGCCACGGCCCCTGGGAGATATGGAAAAGGTACTCAGCCGGTAGCTGTGGGCCTCACCCCAGCTCATCTCTAGCAGCTTCTCTTTTTCATCCTTCAGACCTTTTCCTTAACCAAAGACCTTGAGATCTGGCCCTTCCCTGGCCCTGGCAACAGCCCCGTTCTCACCGGACAGTGGTAGGGATGACTTCCGAAGCAAGGAGGGTGCTGAGGATGGCAGCGGCTTGGGAGGAGAAGAGTCCCAGGACAGAGAAGGTGGTGACTGCAGCTTCGTTCAGATCTGGGGGACCAAGATGGGTAATATGAATGGAGGTGGTGAGACCACCCCTGGCCTAGTCTCTGGTTGTCTCCTTGGCTCTCAAACCCTCTGGCTCAAGTTGTTGGGCTCTGAGCATTCAGTAATTGACTGGGAGAACAGACAAGACTGTGGAGCCAGATGTAGGCCTATGGAAGTTCTGGGCAGGGTCTGGGTCCTGGAGGAAGGCCTGTGCCAAAGGTAGTGGCTGGGCCTTTCTGAGGCTCTTCTATTGGGGTTCTCTTGTTGAGCCCACACTGTGGAGAATGGAGGATGCTTACAATCCCACAGGCCCAGCAGGACCAGGGACGCAATGCCAGTGAGAGTCATTGAGAGAAGCAGGATGCCCCGGCGGCCAAATCGATCCACGGTGACCCCCAGAAAGACACAGGCCAGGGCTGCTGTGCCGCTGGCCAGCAGGGAGCACAAGTAGAAGTCAGACGGGCTCCCTCCTCCTCCCACAGGCTGGTAGCAGTGGCGAATGGCATGGGCGATGAAGCTGTGAGACAGGGTGGGGAAGCAAAGAACAGTGTCTGAATCCCCACTCACAGTCTTCTGCATCCTCATCCTCTACAGGCTCTTCAAGAGGCTGTCCCCACCCAAGCAGCCCCCATCCCAGCTACTGGCCTGGCCCTCAGCTCAGACAGCCAGGCTCACTTGGTGAAGCCCAGGATAAGCAGATTTTTCCAGATGTTGCGGTAGTTGAGGAGGGATGCGAAGGAAAAGGTGGATGTTGGAGGGAGAGGACAGGTATTCTCCAGTTCTTTGGGAGAGAGAGAGGAGCTTTCTGTTAGACACAGCTGAAATCCCAGGATTCTCCCATGTGGAGATGGAGATCCTTGGAAGGGGCATAGCTACAACCATATGGAAGGCATCATGATGTGTGCACATGAGGCATCACATGCAGGGACCTTTTGCTTCTCACCCTGTAGGGCTTCCTGGGCCTCCTCCCCTAGCATCTGCCCGTGGGGCCGGTTCCGTTCAGCCAGGATCCTCAGCACAGACTGGGCTTCCTCAATCTGCCGCTTTACTATCAGCCACCTTGCGGACTCCAGAAACAGACCAGGCCAGCTGGGGGCAGGATGGTGGAATTCATGGTGAAGCCTCCTCTCTCCAGACCCAGGGATGGGAAACTACCACCTCTGAGGGACTGGGGCACTTGGAGATGAGGAGTGGTTTTTGAACTAAGGGTAGGCTAGAGGTAGAGATGGGAAGAGCCAGGCCACAGATAAAGGGTGATACTAACCCATAAAACAAGAAGAGGATGCAGGGAGCGGTGATCATTCTCTGTAGAAATCGCCAGTCCTTAGAGACAAGGGCCAGGCCCAGGAACAGGAAGTGCCCTCCCACCCCCACCAACTCCCCTGCCAGGGCCACCCGAAGCCTCTGGGTTGGGTCGCACAGCTCCAAGCCTGGAGATACAGCAGGGATGGAGGGAGAAGAGTCCAGGGAGTAAGAAGGTAAGAGGGAGAAGAAAGAGGGAGGGATGGAGGAAAGAGGACAGAAAACCAGGTCAGGCCCAAGCAAAGGCTACAACCATCACCTCCCACAGATTAACCTCTGGATGGCAAGGAGGGGGAGACTGCATTCCTCTCCTCTCAAATCTAGAGAGCTCTAAGATCAGAGCCCCTTGTGGGTGCTGAGCACTCCTAGGTTTACAGCCCTTTCATATTGGGTCTCTTATTTGACCTTCATATCAACACTTGTCCAAGGTCACATAGCTTCTCAGGACTTCATTTGGGGTAAAGGATTGAGATGAGGTCTCACAATGTAGCCCAGGCAGGATTTAGACTCAGGACCCTTCTGTTTCAGCCTCCCATATATAGGGTTACAGGTATGTGCCACCATACCCAGCCAAGATTTCATTTTTAAAAGGAGGCTCTATTCCCTGACAGTAGCAAGGTCAGGTCAAGACTTTAAAGGTCATGGCAAGGGGGAGGACAGGTATGGAGAAGCAAGACCCCTAGATTCTTCAAAAGCCTGGGCAGAAAGACAGTTGAGATTCTGGGCAGCTAAAATTTGGGACCCAGGGGCAGTGGAAATTGCCTGGAAAAGCAGAAAGGTAGACATGAGCGTGGTAGAGGTCTCTGGCAGAGTGCCACTTACGCATCAGGTAGACACCAAGGTCAACGCCAGCAAGCAGAAAGCCCAAGAGGAATCGAAGGGCCATGACGCCTGTGGAGGAGCCGGCAGCAGCTCCTCCTACTCCGCAGGGGCCCACAAGCCCCAAGGTCAGCAGCACAATCCCACGACGGCCAAACCTGGAAAGTGGGTAAGGCTTCTGGCTATCCAGACTCCCTGAGATAGAAGGTACTGGGTGGGGTCCAGCTGCCTACTTCAAAGCTGGTATAAGGATGAGGTTTTGGAGTTGGAGCAAGGCTAGAAAAGATGGAGGGGATGGGAGTTATGGATACATGATGTCTGAGCACTGGGTACAGCTATGGTTTTAAGTGAGGGCAACCAGTGACACCTGGGGACAGGGCTATCAGCAGAGATTAGGGCATTCAACCTGGATGTGAGATCAACCATGAGGGTGGGATGCTGCTTACAGGGTTTGGTACCTTCATCCTTGGAGGCAGAGCTATTGTTAGTGGGAATAGCCTCTGTCTTACTCAGAGGTGATGGGGGTCATTGATCTATGAAGTAGGAGCGCCTGATCTAGGGAGGTGTAGCCATTGGCTGCTTGTGTACCAAAATACTGCTGGTCAGTGAAGATAGAGCTGTTTATCTTTGGGGGCTGAGAGCTATTCATCTTTGGGAATAAGACCACTGTTCCATAAAATTGGGACCTGGGTCTATTAACTTGTAAGGGTGGACAGTGTGTGGGTTATTTGACCAGGAGATGGAGCTACTGGGTCTACTAATCCATGGGATTGGGCCACTCTTTCAGAGACTGGAGAACTGATCTTTAGCGAGGGAGGCATTGATTAATGGGGTGAGGGTCTTAGTGCAGGTGGCCAGTGGAGATGAATCTCTTGATCCAAGGGTACAGATACTAAGGATGGGGAGATGAGGCTATGGGTAAGTGATGATGGTTGCTGATCTCAACTTAGTAATGACAGGGCTACTGGTCCTCAGGAGCCTGGGCAATTGACTGCTGCAGGGGACTTTGGGAGATAAAGATAGGGCCAACGGTCATTGGAAAGAGGGTACTGATCCCTCAGAATAAGGTCATTTAACATGATAGAATGTTAAATAAATGCATGAGGATGAGTTTATTGGTTAATGAGGCTGAGGTTTCTGATTTTAGAAGACTCAATTCTTGATTTTTGGGAATGAGGCTACTGGCTTATGAAAATGAGGTGCTTAGGGATGGGCTATTAATCTGTGGGTTTAGGTTCATTGGTCCACAGGTATATGTGATATTGAGTAGTGATGATGGCTATTGGTTTTAAAGAAACAGACTACTGAATACCTTTGGTACACAGACGCTGAGCTATTAATCCACTTAGATAGGACTAGAGATCATGTGGGTATGACCAGAGAAACTGGAGCATGTGGTCAGTGATGCTGGTGTCCAGAAGAGGAAAAAGGGATTTGGATCTAAGAGAAGAGTTATGGTTGGTGGGGTGGACTGTTGCTCTTTGGAGATGAGGTCACTGATTCATGGAAATAGGGGTTTTGGTCTAAGAGGATCTAAAAGTTCTGGCAACCCATGGACATAGGACTACTGATAAATGAGAGGTGTTCTTGGAGTCGGTGATCCATAAAGGGCAGAGTCATTTGGTGGCAGGCATGGAAGTGTGAGTTACTATTGACCAGGGTACTTTGTAAATAGTTAATAACTGTGGGGGATGGGCTACTGGTCAGGGATAGGGGCATTTGTTTGTAAAGTTGACTATTCACTGGTGGAACAGGGCTATTGATACATTGAACTTTAGGAATGAGGCCACTGAGGTGGAGCTAACAGTCCAGGTAGGCTATTAGCCAGTGGGGATGAATCTGTCAATCCATGAAGCTGGTAAGAAAGGTGGTTAGGATGGTAAGGGCAACAGAAGGAGAGATGGGACATGATCTGTGGAGAGTTTTTTGGTTCAGGAGGTGTCTGTTATCCTTTGGAAAGGAAGCCTTTGATCCATAGATACTGCTGCCGATCAGTGGGAATGGGTAACAGTCATGCATGTGAGGGTGTGCACGCACTTTCATGCATGTCTGAAAGTGATATATAGGTTTATTTCTCGATGGGGAATGAAGTTGAGACTGGGATAGACTGCTAAACAGGAGTCCAGAGAAGACCACAGAGTCCAGCAAATGGTATCGTCCTTGATCTCTCGCAAAACCCGCTTTTGGGCTAGGTTGGCCAGCACCCCCTCTATCCCTCCATTCTACCAGCCGTGCCCCCCCCGACAGTCCTCACCTGTCCGCGGGGTAACCCAGAAACAGGTAGCCGGAGGCACAGCCCAAGATGAAGAGGATCTGCTCCAGAATCACCTGCCAGCCCAGGTCACACACCAGATCCCACTGGGGACGTGAGAGGGGTGCAACCGGTGTGAGGGCTGGCTCTAGCGCCCTCCGCCCGCCCCCGGACCCGCGGTCGGCCTGCCGCCTCACCTGGCCGATGGCGTTGGTGGTGAGCACCGGCAGGCCATTGTAGTCCCAGTCCTTGAGGCAATGGTTGAAGTCTGGCGGGGCGAAGCCGCTGCACGCGGGGTCCGTGCTGGTGGCGCTGGCGGCGACGCGGCTGGCGGCGCTGGCTGCCAGGGCGCTGGAGACGCTGACGCCGCTGGCATTGGGGGGCTGCTCCCAGCCGGAAGCATTGGGGGGGAAGGCCCCGTAGTGGCAATGCAGCGGGGGCGCCAGCGTGAAGATGGGGTCCGAGGCCATACCCAGCGCCACGAAGAGCACCGGCAGGCAGCAGAGGCCGAGCTGCAGCTGCTGGCCGCCGCCCAGCGCCCCCACCTGGGCGAGCAGCGCCTCGAAGCTCAGGGGGCCCGGGGGCACGGCCAGCGACAGGCTGCTGCCCAGCCCGCCGCCGCCCGCGTCGCCCTCCCCCTCCCTCCTGCGCTCCCGCTCACCCTGCAGCTGCTCGGTGGGCACCGCGTCTCCGAGGGTCCCGACCTGCTGCGGCGAGGGGGGCGGCGTTAAAGCCGAGGGGACTGCAGGCCACCGGGAAGGCGCGGGTGGGAGGCGTGGGAGCCGGGTCAAGGTAGGCAAGGGCGGGAGGATCCGCGGGAGGAGGATATGGGGCGCTCGGCAGGGCGGGGGCGTGAGGGGAGGATGCTGCCGCCCCTGGGGGCGCACTTACTCCGTTGGAGCTGGGGGCGATCTCCACCGTGCTGTCGATTTTGCTGCCGCCCCCGCCATTGGGCTCGGGGGTCCCGGTGGCCACTCGGGGAGCCAGCTTGCCGACCACAGGGGCCCTGCGGGCCCGCACCGAAAGGATGCGCTGTTCTTTGGCCCAGCTGCGTGCCAAGGGCTGGGGCACCGAGAGCCCGAAGAGACCCGGCTCTGCACCTCTGCAGACGCTGGCGTCTCCTCCGTCTCTGCGATCTCTGCGTTGCTTTCCCCTCCCCTTCCTCCAGACTCTCCTCCCCTTCCCACGTCAGCAAAACCTAGGTCCAGACTCTTCGTCAGAAAGAAAGGGGAGGGGGGAGCAGGGCCCAGTGGAAGGAGGGGCTGGGGTCTCCGTCATTTGTTCCCTGGGGGTCTGCAGGCCATTGCGGTTAAAAAAAAATTAAAAAAAGAAAGGAGTCGGGGGTAGGTGAAGGATAGTAGATACCCTAAGGCAAATGCCCCAGAATCCTCTTTCACTTAAAATTCTTCCCCATCATCAGCCACCCACCCACCCACATTTATTTACCAACACAATTTATTAAGTGCCTACTATGTCCCTGGCCTTGCGTGAGGTTTTGGAGATGACAGGACACGATAACCTTGGAGGAGGTTACTTGGGGAGGCAGACATGTAATCCAGCAATTGCTGTGTGACACGTATATGGAGAACTGGGCTGGCACGGTGCTCGGCTCTGCAGCTTTGGTCCTCTACAAGGGGACCAGTCTCTGGGTTTCCCCACACCGAGCTTGGTTGAATCGCCATTTTCCAGCAACATTTGGCACTTTTGACCACCTCTTTCTTCCTTGGCTGCCAAGTCTCATTCTGCCTTTTTCTCCTGCTTCTTTTTCCCATTGCAGGCACATCCTCCTCTTCCTCAGCATCATTCAGTGTTAGCAGTCCTCAGAGACTTGGTCCTAGACCCTCTTCTCATTCCACACTATTATCTCCATGCCCATACTTTGGACGCCACCAACACAAACCATATACACCTGATTCCAGAACTACAACTCCAATTCCTCCTGTCTTCTGAGTCCCAGTCCATGAAGTAACCTCTTGTTAGAACACGGACCTTGAATGTCTCTTAGGGGCCTCAAACCCAGTAGGACCAAGACCAAAATCATGCACCCCCCTCCCCCATAACCTTGGTGTCTTTAAAACTTCCTTTGGGGAATGGCACCATCATCTGAGGTTAGATGCTTGTGCTAGCCCTCAGAACTCCCTCTTCTTTACCTCATGTAGAGTCCCTTATAAAATCTTACCCACTGGAGAGATGGCTGGAGAGATGGCTCAGCGGTTAAGAGCACTGACTGCTCTTGTAGAGGACCCAGGTTCAATTCCCAGCACCCACATGGTGGCTACAAACTGTCCTTAACTCCAGTTCCAGGGGAATCCAAAGCCCTCTTTTGACCTCAATGGGATTGCACGACACGGGTGCACTCACATACATGCAGGCAATACACTCAGACACATAAAATAAAAATAAATAAAATAGTAAAAAAAAAAACAAAACCCAAAACTTTAGCAGGGCGTGGCGGCGCACACCTGTATTCCCAGCACTTGGGAGGTAGAGGCAGGCAGATCTCTGTGAGTTCAAGGCCAGCCTGGTCTACATAGTGAGTGCCAGGACAGCTGGGGCTACAGGGAGACCCTGCTTCAAAAAGACAAAAACAAAAAAAAAAAAAAACCAAACAACCAAAAAAACAAACCTTACCCACTTTCCTTCCTTGATAATTCTTAGATTACTGTAGTCTTAGTTCCCAACTGCTGTTCAGCACCCACTTTGTTTCTCCCATCTGCTACGGGTGGAATCATCTTTTTAAAAATGCAGGTCCAGCCAGGCATGGTGGCACATGCCTTTAATCCCAGCACTTGGGAGGCGGATCTCTGTGAGTTCAAGGCCAGCCTGGTCTACATAGTGAGTTCCAGGACAGCTGGGGCTACAGGGAGACCCTGTCTCAAGGACAACAATTAAAAAAAAAAAAAAAAAGCATAATCTTCCTGGGTATGGTGACCACACCTTTAATCCCAGCATTCAGGAGGCAGAGGCAGGTGGATCTCTGAGTTCGAGGCCAATCTGGTCTGCATATCAAGTTCCAGGCCAGCAAGGGCTACATAGTGAGACTTTTCTTTCGAAAAGGAAACCAAAAAAAAAAAAAAGCATAATCTTCCTGGGTATGGGGACCACACCTTTAATCCCAGCATTCAGGAGGCAGAGGCAGGTGGATCTCTGAGTTCGAGGCCAATCTGGTCTGCATATCAAGTTCCAGGCCAGCAAGGGCTACATAGTGAGACTTGTCTCTGGAAAAGGAAAACAAAAATAAAATAAAATACTGACATCACCCAGGCCGTTGAACCATAATCTTTAACTAGATTCCCCAGGTGTATGTATATTAAAAGTAGACATTTAATACTTGGTACTTTCAATTCCAGGTAAAGTCTGGAAAGGAATATCAAGTCTCAGCAAAGAAAACTTTTCTCCTTTTATTTTTAGTATGAATGTTTTGCCTGCATGTATGTAAGTGTATCATGTGCATGCAATGCCCTGCAGAGGCCAGAAGAGTGTTGGGTTCCCTGGAACTGGAGTTATGGACAGTTAGCCACCATGTGGGGAAATCAAATCCAGGTCCTCTGGAAAAACAGCCTCTCTCTTTTTGATTGATTTATTTTGATGTGTATGGGTGTTTTGCTTGCATGTAAGTGCATCAATGCATGCAATACCTGTGGAGGCCAGAAGAGGGCGCCATATTCCTTGGAACTGGAATTACTAGATGGTTGTTCGCTGCCATGTGGGTGCTAGGAAGTGAACTGAGCCCCTCTCTCTAAAAGAAGAGCCAGTGCTCTTAACCCAGGACCCAATTCTTCAGCCCCTTTTCTCCCTTTACTGAATCATTATTTCATTTCCTCTGTTCAGAAAATTTCCAAGTATAGGAAACCCTTCTCCAATGCATCAAATAGCTTACTACCATGCCCCCTCAGTACCTTACTGGGCTTCTGTTAGAGCCAACATTCACTGGGGATCTGTCTCCACCCTTCATTTTACCTTAGAATAACCTCTTAATTTCATCTATTTTCTTAGTTTTTCACAAAAGCTCTGTAAGACCATTATGACCACTCTCATATTAAAGCTAGAGGCAAGACTTGAGGGGGCTGGAATGATGAATCCACAGACACAGATACACAGACACACACACAGCACATCTGAGACTTGAACTGAAAACTTCTCCAATTTCCAGGCTCGTTTCTGACAAGCTTGTCTGAAAATGGTCTTCAACATGTAAATGTGAATTCTACTGGCCCCACAATCTGAGATTTTTTTCCTCAAGAGAGATGAAAAAGCTCAAAATGGAAGAGGCAAATGCACAGGGTGCCAAGATATACAAAGATTACGAGTGAAACTTGAGGTGCCCCAACCCAGTCACCATGCCAGGTTCTTGAGAAGGCAGAACTGAGGCAAGGACTGTGTGGCTGACTTCTCCTGTGGTCAAAGGCCAGAGTGAACTTCTTTCAAGTCATGGGCTCGCAATCTCATCAAAGTCCTGAGGGCTTCCAACCTGTTACACTCATCTGTAGTCTCAGCAACTCTTAAGTCATGGAAGCCTGGGAAGAATGTAAGGGACTGGACTCTCTTTAAGTCACCTAATGAAGAATGCCGGGTTGACCCTGCACTAGAGTTACACAGGGTAACTCTCGAGTTTGGGTGACCTCAAAAGAGGTACTTTTTGAAGCTGTTGTGGCCAAACTCTCTACACCTGCATGTCTCTAATGGCAGCACGTGACAGCGAAGATTGGGACCAGTAGTCTTAGACCCTTCAAGTTCTTTCATTCTCTTGGTGTCTCAGGCATCACCTCCCAGCCTTCCTGGTCAAGATATCCTTCACCAGATGTCCCCTTCACTTAGCTAGTCTCTTCATATCACCAGTTGATTTCCATCAGCAACTTAGAAAGAATGCATTTACTGTCACTGACTTATCCCACTCTCCCTGGAATACATTCACTGTGTACTTTAGAACTCTGTCTGGCCTGTTACAGGAGCTGAGGACCAGTCTAGGGAAGTTTTTGAAGGAGCAAAATTACCCCTCATAGTGTGTATCCCACAGGAAGGAAGAGGGGGTGCCAGGCCAGCCCCCAGACTCAAGAAGTTGAGTCAGGGAAACAGATGGGAGGGTTTATTGCAGTACATGCCATGCCCATCCCGCCTGCCTTTTGAGGGGAGGTGCCCCCAGCGGCTCCTAGACCATCACATTTTGGACTGTTGATGTCCTGCCCTCACTCTCTGCTCAGAGTGAGGTTCTGTTCTTCAGCCAAGAAACGGGAGAGGCTCTATGTGGCCCCAAGTTTCTGCCACCTGATTCTCTGTGTGCCAAACTTGTGGGGGAAGGAGGCAGCAGCAACCTCTAGCCCTGGAGAGTAGAGTCCAATCCCTTCCTACCCCAGAAGATGCCTGTACTGGACAAAGCAAGGAATACTAAATATAAATAATTTATACAAAATGGCTCATACAAAAAGTGGTGGCTATTAGGGAGGAGATGCCTCTGTGGGAGGCTGAGATGACCAGACAGATAGGGGGAAGACTCCTTCCCTTCCATCAAGCAGAACCCTCTGGCCACCCTTGACGTGGAGCAGGGCTCTGGCAGGTGAGGGACGAAAAGGCTGCGCCGACAGTCCCTCAGGGGAGCAGGCCAGTGAGCAGGTTGGTAAAGCGTAGGGCCTGTCCTGCAAGCTCTGCCACACATCGTGCCATCTCCTGGGCTGCAGAGCCAGATGGGTAGCCTAGGGCAGCCCCTTTGACAGCAAGCACAGTAGCTCGTAGAGTCTGGCCCAGTGCTGTACCTGCAGCCCCCACCTGTGCTCGGAGAGGCGCAGAGGCTGCCAGACGGCCGAGGGTGTCCCCAACAAATACCAGGCGGTGAGCAGCCACCACCACTCGCTTGCCATGGGGCACAAAGAGGCACGGAGGCTGGTTGGCCTGAGTACTGGACATCAAGGCTGCCACAGCAGCCTGCAGTGCGGAGTAGTGGCTCTGGCATTGGTCTGCGTAGAAATGCAGGCGCTGTAGGTCTCCAGTGGACAGAACCAGAGGCTCCCCTGGGGACAGGGCTTCCTGTAGGGAAAGAGGAGGGTCAGTGAGAACAAGGTCAGTAGTTCCTCCTGGCTTCCTTTCTCCTTTACTCCCTTTGTTCTTCCTTTTATTTATTTATTTTTATTTATTTTTTTGTTTGTTAAGAGAAGGTCTCCCTGTAGCCCAAGCTGGCCTGGAACTTGCTGTGTAGATCAAGCTGTCCTCGACCTCACAGAGATCCACTGAAATACCAACAAAAGAACCCCCATATGTATTTTACATTTTTAAACATTTATTTATTGTGTGTGTGTGCGTGCATGTGCACGTATGCATGCAGGCATTTTCACATACTATGGAGGTCAAAAGACAACTTGTGAGAGTCCGTTTTCTCCTTTCACCACGCTGGTCCTGAGGACAGAATTCAGGTCATCAGGACTAGCAGCAAGCACTTTTATCCATTGAGCATCTCGCCAGCCCTGGTATGTCTTTTATATGTGCAGCATTCCATTTAGACTAGCCACATTTCAAGTGCTCAGAATCCACAGGAGGCAACTGTACTCTATAGTGCAGTTCTAGCACACTGTAAGCACCATATGAGCATTAACTGTGACTATGATGGTACTTGCAGCCGGCCTGACACAAGATCCGGTACTTGGTAAACATCTGTTGAATGATAGCTACTGTATTATGTCCATTCTAGACTGAGTTGAGGAAACTACCTCACTCTCCTGAGGCCCAGAAAGATTAATCAATTGCCCAGGTTTCTAAGTTGTGAAGCTGGGATTAAGAAACAGGTCTCTTAGGAACCCAGGAATTCACAGTTGGAGATAAGTCACCTGGCCCAGACTTCACCCATGGCCTAGAAATTCTTCCTGCTTTCCTGGCTACCAGGCTTTCTGACGTCTTTCCAACACATTCTTTCCCTTCTTCCTGAATTCCCAAGAAGCTCATGTTCCAGTGCCTTCCCGCTGACTCCTCCTGCTCTGTCCTAGCTTCACATGTTCTCGGCCCCACCCCTCTGCTTTCCTCTAGTGCACCCCACTAGGGTTACCTGCTGTTCTGGTAGCCCCCTGTCCAGCAGTTCAGGATTCCCTGGGGAGGCTTTATCCAGGGGTCCAGATTCCTGAGCTTTATCCATACCCTGCAGAGGGATCAGGTGTTAGTGGCACGGTAGGGAGCAGAATGTGGGCCTCCAATGGCCTTTGGGTCCCTCCCCAACCCCCTTCCTTCAGGGAAATGTTCCTGACATCAGAGCTTGCAGTCCCTGGATACCAGGTGTGAGAGCTCTTATAGGTAGCTTCATGCTGGGATCAGGGCTGAGTGTGGCATTAGTTCAAGTGGTGTAGATACGTGCTGGGGTCCCAGGCCCCAGGGTGGAGGTCCAGGGGAGAGGGAGGCCCTTGGCAGGGTGCCTAGGCTCTCACCTTCAGGTGCACGTAGTCATACTCCTCAGCCATCGGGATGCCTTCATACTCGTTGTGTGGGCCTGCTGAGTCATCCTCCACCTCTTGGCCCTCTGGATCATTCTCAACTTTTAGGCCCCCATAGCCAGGCAGGCGGGGCGGGGGAGGGGGCAGAGGCCTGTCCTGGATACTGCCCTTGCGGCCTGGGGCAGGGGAGGGAGCTGGAGAAGGGCTGGGGGCCTCAGAGACTGGCAGGGCAGGCAGAGGCCTGCGAGACAGACTTTCAGTAGAGGGCAGCCGGGGCCTGTGTGGGGGTGGAGGGCTTCTGGCCAGAAGCTGGGCCACAGAGTCCAGGTCACTAGAGGACAAAGCTCCTGGGGGCTCTGGAGAAGAAGGTGACTCTGGCCCCAGCAGGGGTACATCATAGATGCCTTCGTCTGTGTCCCCACTTTCCCCGTTTGCCAGTAGTTCCTCGGGTGCTTCATACAGGTTGAGGAGAGCTGATGCTCGTTTCAGGTTTGAAGGGGCAGCATAGAGTGGGGGCCCTGGTTCCCGGCCCCCTTCCCACTCCAGATCTGGGTCCAACTCTGCAGGTGTCTTCAAGGCCAGAGGCACATCGTAGGGAGCGTCACCCTCTCTTGGGGGCTGTGGGACAACTGGAGCCAGAGAGCAGGAAAAGGAGGCTGGGGAGTCATAGGGGCAGCTGGAGGGAGCCCGGATGATGTTGGGGGGCACATCATAGACCTGAAGGGAAAGACTGGTGTTAGCCTTCAGCTCTGCAGTGGACCTTCCTTGAGATTTCTGCCCCTCACCCAACATACACACAGATCTCTAGCTCTCACCTCTAACACATCCCTGGGAGCAGCCAGCTGGGTCCCGCTGCCTCTGGGGACCTTGTAGATGGAGTCAGCAGAGGGTAGGCAGGGTCCAGCTGGAGGTCCTGAGGCAGGACAGGGTCGAGCTGGTGGTGGTACCACATATACCTAGGGAATTAAGAGAGGTGGAGATGTCAGGAGAAGGGGAGGTCAGTGAACCAGCATAACGTGGAGAACCTTACAGGCCTGCTAGTCTCCTCCCTCCACACTCTTGTGCTGAGCTTGGAATGGGATGGCAGACAGATGTTAGTTGGCAGACTCAGTGAACAGCCAAGGTCTCTGCCTTGCTGGCCTGGCCCCAGGTTCTGGAAGGAGCACAGGCTGTCCAGGTCTTGGGCTGGAGAGGCCCCAGCTCTTACCTCCTGCTCTTCACTGACAGGCTCTGGGGTGGGACATGGTGAGCCAGGCTGGGTGACAGGTGATGGGGAGAGGCTAGGCTTGGGTGCTGGGCCCGCCGGAAGGAGCTTCACTCTGTTGGCAGGTACAATACCCTGCTGGCCATGCAGGGAGCAGAGGCACCAGCCGTCTAGTCCACCAGCGCCCTCCCTCTGCAGTACACGGAGAACATCCCCTCGGCGGAAGGACAGCTCCTGGGGGGACTCGGCTGTGTTGTCGTACAATGCCCGGGCCAGCTGGGCCTGGTGGGGGAGGTTGGAGAGAGGAGTCCTCACATACACATATCAGGTCATGTAGCGAGTACACAGAGCTTCCCATTCCATTCAAGCTAAGTCTTACTCCTGACTGGGCTCTGCTTTGCCAGGGTCATGACTGGCATGCTCATCTTTTCATTCTTTGAGCTAGCTTATTTCCATCTTAGGGCTCTGTGCTTGTTTTCTCTACCCAAAATGCTCTTCTCCTGACTGCATCTGTTTTTTTTAGTTTTATTATTTTTATTTCATGTGTATGCGTGCATGTAGGTAAGTGCGCCCGTGTCGTGCAATGCCCCCAGAGGACAGAAGAGGCTATTGGAGCCTCTAGAACTGGAGTTACAGACAGTTGTTAGCTGCCATGTGGGTGCTGGACTTCGAACCCGAGTCTTCTGCAAGAACAGTGTTCTTAACTGCTGAGCCGTCAGCCATCAGTATGGTGGTGCATGCCTTTAATTCTAGCACTCAGGAGGCTGAGGCCAGTCTGGTCTACATAGTGAAATCCAGGACAGTCAGAGCTACAAAGAGAGACCCTGTCTGAAAAACCAGAAAAAAAAAAGTCTCCAAATAAACTGGGCCCTGGCTGAGGCAGAAGCATTCAAAGTTCAAGGTCAGCCTGGCAACTTAGTGAGATCCTATCTCAAAATGAAAAGTAAAAAGGCTTAGGGGCTTGCCTTAGCATGCATAAAGCCCTGGGTTCAATACTTAGCATTGTATAAACTGGGGGTGGTGGCATATACCTGTAATCCCAGCACTCAGGAGGTAGAGGCAGGAGAATCAGAGGTTTAAAACCAGTCTGAGTTACATGGGACCTTGTCTTTTATTAAAAAGTGGGTGGAGTCTGGAGAGATGGCTAACACCCTTTCTTAAACTCCGGTTCTAGGGGATCTGACACCCTCTTCTGGCCTCTGTGAGCACCTAGCATGCATGTAGGGCACTTATATACATGTAGACAGAATTTTCAGGCACAGAAAATAAAATATGTAAATAAAATCTAAGAAGGCGGCGGCGGCTCAGTGGTACAGCACTTGCCTAGACTGTTAAAGGCCCTGGTTGAAAATCAAATCAAATCTCAAACTAATGATAGCAGGCTGTTACCAGGTTGTGGGAGAAAAATGATGCCCTGCTCAGTCAGGAGTGCCTGTTCCTCTTGGCTCCTATTTTGTGCTTGTGGGCAACTTGTTCAGTCCTTTCAATAACTTTCTCTTACTCTCCAAACTTACCCTTCCTCCCTCAAGATACAGGAACAAACCCAGGTCCTTCTGCAAGGAAGTGCTCTACCACTAAGCTATATCCCTAACCCTCATCAAAGTATTTCTGATTATACTGTGGATTCTAAAGGATATTGTCTTACAAAAAGAAAACATGCTAACCAGATAACACAAATTCCTGATTGGCTCTGTACCTACCCACCCACCCTTCCTTCCCTCTGAGTGTGCATGCATGCATGTGTGCGTGCATGTGTGTGTGTGTAGGCCAGAGGTCGATGTTAGGTGTCTTCCTCAACCACTTTCTACCATGTATATGTGTATATAAACTTTTCTTTTTTTCCGACAGGGTCTCACTATGTAGCCCTGGCTGGTCTGGAACTCGCTATGTACACAAGGCTGGCCTTGAACTCACAGAGATTCTCCATGCCTCTGCCTCCCAAGTGCTAGCCTCAAACTTGTGCTCTTCATGTCTCTGCCTCTTCAGCATATCCTACCAGCCTGGGCTTGTACATGTAGCAAGCACTTTACTAACTGAGCCATATCCCCAGCCCCTGTACTTTGTAATTGCAAATTCAAAAATAGTGTTTTGGATTAGCCAGGGGATACAAAAACAAAGCTCTAAGAGCAGGTAGACCTGGGGTTGAGTCCTGGCTCTGTCCCTTTCTTACTGGGTGCCTTTGAGCAGGTAGTTTCCCATTTGTGTGCTGCAATTTCCTCCTTTGTAGAATTCTGTATCTATATCCATGTTGGATAACAGTAATGTCCTCATAAAATTGAGGGCTGCATGAGATAATGCATCAAAAGGCCATGATAAAGCTTAGCACAGGGCCAGGCGTGGTGAAGTGAGTACTCAGTATTATCATTGCGAGCATCCAGCGATTCTGATTACCGTAAATACCCCCCACCCCCATCTACCTTCTGGACCTCAAAGTTGACAGTATGGTGGTAGGGTCAAGAGCCTGCAGCTGCATGTCAGAGTCCTCCCAAAGGTACCACAATAGGTTCTCTCCCTATTTCAGAACTGGGCTAGGGTCTTCACGAAGACTGAAGGACTAAAAGGTTTGATTTAAGGAATGGAAATTGGACCTGTCCTTGAGGGAAGGGGAGGGTGTCCAGTGGCTCCAAGCTCCTCTTTGCACCCTTATAATTTTCTTCCCACAGTCGAAGGAGGGAGGGAGGGATGGAGGGAAGGAGGAAAGGAGGAGGGAGGGGGGAGAGGGAGGGAGAGAGAGAGGGGGAGGGATGGAGGGAGGGAGGGAGGGGGGGGGGGGGGGGGAGAGGGAGAGAGAGAGAGAGAGAGAGAGAGAGAGAGAGAGAGAGAGAGAGACTTTCCTTGGGAATGCCCAGCAAGGGTTAGATGTGTGGCAAGGCATGGGTTTGTTCTCCAGCCAGAAAGCCGAGGTGGGGCTGCATAGCTCCTCCCTGAGTTAGGTTTGAATTTTATCCAATGGGGCCCAACCTTCCTGCCTAGCATTTCGCCTGAACCCAAGCCAGAGTTGCTGATAGAATGATTGATGATGGGTGTGATCACCCGTGCTCTGTCCCCTCCTAGGGGACCAGCTGACTTGTGAGGGAAGGGCCCGCTTATTGGAGGTGGCAGTGGGCCACTGCACTTTCTGGGAGGCTTCCTCCAGCAGTCCCATTATGCCAGCTGTCTCCTCCCTTTGTCCCCAGTCACCAGAAAGTGGCCCGAGGCAGGCTGACATCATCTCCCCTCCTCTGTATTATTTTCCCTGCCTGTTCACCCTCCTCTGCTTGTTTGCTCCCTTTCCCCAAGCCTCTAAAGACTGGCTTCCTTGGGGCCTTACCCCCTCCCCCCCAATCTTTCTTGGACTCTTTGGTCTTTTCAGAAAGCTTTTACTTGCCTCCTAATCACAAGCCCCTGCCAACCACCGGTGGCCATCTGCTCCCGCCCAGAAAAGAGCAGATAGGACTGGGGCTACACTGGCCCCCTCCCCTCCATCTATCCGCAGCCTCTAAAAAAAAGAATGGGGAGGGAGATGGGAGGAGAGACCAACCTAGAACCAGGAGAAGCAGGGGGTGGGGAGGCAGAGAAAGGAAACAAAGTGAGAGGGCACAGCTTCTTGGAGAAGAGAGACCACAAAGACTGGGTGGAAATAAATGCAACAGGGGCATAGGGCAGGCTGGAGGCCTCTGCCCGGCAGCCTTCTCTCCCTGGTGGACTCACCGACGTGGCAATGGCCATGGTTTAGGCCTCCAGCGTCGCCAGCTTCAGGCCAGGCTGGGTTTCGCTGACTTCAGCGATGGCCGCCCCTTACCATGGTTCCCGACCTCCAGGCCAGGCCACCCCCAGCTGTGGCGCTTGAGGAAGAGAAAGAAAAGCCACGAAACTTCCCAACTGGGAGGCAGCTCGGCCAGGCGGGAGGAGGAGCGGGGCGGGCCGCGGCGTCGCTGCGGGCCCTTATCCAAGGGGCCGCGCTCCGAACCGTTCCCGGGGGCGCGGGGTGGGCCGCGGCTGCCGCCTCGGGCCGCAGAGGCCTCCTGGGCACACGTGGGCCGAAAGCTCACGTCCGAGGCCGGCAGCGCGCGGGTCTGGAGCCGGGGCTGACTTCGACGCCTCTCCTGGTAGCGCGGGCCAGCCCCGAGGGCAGGGAGAAGCTGCCCGGGTGGTTGAGCTGGACGAGCAACTTCGGGCCCCGGCGGCCGGACCCGCGGGCGGGAGCGCGAGAACCGAGCTGCGTGGCTCAGCAAACTCGCTCAAGTTGGCGGACGCGGGCAGGCTAGGCGCCCAAGGCCCGAGGGCGCGTGGCCGCCAAGCTGCTTTCCGCCCAGACCCTCGCACCGGGCGCACTCGCCCACCGCACCCCGGGGCCGTGGGGACGCCGCGAGCGCCTCGTTCCGGGCCGCAGCAGCCAGCGCCGGGGCCCCTCGAGGGCCGGGCCGCTCTCTTCCGCGCGCAAGGCCGCGAGCCCCCGGCTGGCCCCGCCGGCAGCCTCTCGGGCACCCTGGACAGGGCCCCTCCGCGCGCCCCGAAGCTTGGGGACGCTCCCAGGTGTCTTAGGGAAGGACGAGAAAGGCCACGAAGCAAAAGAGGCACAGAGGGAAGGGCGGTCCTCTGGGCTCGCCTGGGGTTGGGGTGGGGACACTGAGAGGGGCCGGCAGAGGTTCGGGCTCGTGGCCCCCTGCGCACCCGTCGCACGCGGCGCCCTTTCCTTCCCCGGTCCGGGCTCCCCGCTCCCTCTGCAGTTTTCTCCCCTCCGGCGCGGGGCTCAGTCCTGGGGATTAAGAGAAAGGAGGGAGGGGGAAAGGGAGGGGGAAGGAGGGGGCGGAGGAGAAAGGGGACGATCCTTCCCCAGGCGGTGTTGAGTTTCAGCTCGGGACCCCGGGCCTAGCTGCCGGCCCCTCTCCCCGGCGCCTCCTTCCTGCAGACCTTGCAGCGGCCCTCCCGGTGGTCTGGTCTGCGCGCTCCGGGAAGCCTCGCTCGGCCCGCCACGCCCCCGCTCTCCCCAGCCAGCCCCACGCCTCTCTGCCTCCCTTTCATTAGCCCCACATCTGTCTTTCCCGCGGGAGGGAGAGCGCTCCTTCCGTCTCGCAGGGGTCGGGAGCCGAGCCTCCAGGGTGTTGTCTCTGCAGGAGGTGGCAGGGTGAGCCCGATGGGTCTTGCGGGGCACAGGCTTGGAGTCTGGGCTTGGAGTCTGGTACCGGACAGATTGTGAACCACGGCGAGGGAACTGCAGCCTGAGCGCCTGGCCTCAGATCTGTAGACGGGCCGGTTGGACCGCCTTTTGGCCTCCTTTGCCAGTCTGGGCCTGTTTCTCTTCTGCAGCCTAGCCCTTGCTGCTGGAGGAGCAGAAGGATTGGCGACCATAGGCACAAGAGGGGAGAGCTCTTCCAGAGGGGCTTGGAATCCTGCCCCCAGAAGTCCTTTCTGGAAGCTGGGCTCTGCTTTTCTCTAAACCTTTCCTGCTAACCTTTCTCCAGTTATCCCTCTTCACTGGCCCTTTCTTTGGGGAGGGGACACACCTCACTGTTTCTCAGAAACTTGTGGGAATCCTGTCTTCTTCCATTTGGGGGTTCCTGGTATTTAGAAAGTAAGCTGCTAGACAGAGGTGAACGGCTGCAGTGTATTTTCAATGTTTACCTTTAGCAAATTAACACTGCCAACACATAAAATAGACAATGAGTGTAGTCATAACCTCCTTGGGAGATAACATCTGAAGGATTATTTAAGGCCCTTTGTGAACTGTAGGCTTTGACATCCAGGCATTTCCCAGGACCACAGTGTGGAGAGTACCTGACCCAGGCCCTTCCCCACCTTACTTTTTTGTAGAGGGGAGAGTGTCATCTATGGGGTGGCTTGGTGAGTTTCTGGGGTGAACGTAGGGATGAATGGTGTTGGCTCTGGGCTTGGCAGTAGTCCTGTTGTACAGACCCCATGCATAGGCTGGGAATCTTGAACATACGCTGGCTCCATTACAATAAAAAGGAACTTTAATGTTTCTAGATGCGTCTGAAGTGAGTTTCCCAACTCAGCTCTAGTTTGACTAGAAAGGGTTAGTGGGTAACACCTTCTATTCTCCAGACCCCAGTCCTGGGGGTGGGGGGTTCCTGCCTTGACACACAGACATAAAGCTGTGGGGAGTGGACTGTATGATCTCTGCCCAGGGTCATCAGTACAAAGCGGAGGTAATGAGGACACTCTGTCTTTGAACATAAATGCCCTGACTGACACAGAGAAGTAGATGCAGAGGAGAAAGGCTAAGCAGAAAGGATGCCACTAAATCCAGGCACGATCGTTACTTGAAAATGAGCAGTGGAGTTCAGTGCCTGGGAAGTGTAGGTGAGAGACAGCCACTGAAATATCCAGGCTCGGTATGGGGCCAGTTAGTATTGGGATTGAGCTCTAGTTTCATATTAGCTGTGTGACCTCGGTCAAGACATAGAACATCTTAAGAGCCTTAATTCCTCATGTGTAACAGTGACTTTGGTGAGGAAAAAAACATGGAAAGTGCCCAATACATTACTTTTCTACCATGCATTCTTTTTACCTCTTTACCTTGACTTGCCTCTAACTATACATTCATAAAAACAGGATGTGTTTCTTTGTTGCGGGAGTGGGAGCCTTTCCCATGTCCTAAACATGCACTTTAGCCTTTTCCTTAAGAAACAAAGGTTTAAGGTGATTCAGACTAGGAAGAGTTCTGCCTCTGTGTGCAGTTGGAGAAAACCCAGGCTGAAAGGGGCTGATACCCTGCGTAGGCCGCAGCCTCAGGTAGCCTTGCCCCATGGTGTGTTCTGGCTGAAAGAAGGAAGTCTTCTGTCTTCCCAGGTCCCTATCTTCTCTCCCACTCTCTTCTCTTCCCAGCAGGGTCCAACCATCTGTTTTCTTTCTTGTCCACCTAGATCTTCCACCGCATCTCATCTGTTCTCCCTTTCATCCCTTGTTTTTCATCCACATTGTCTTATTTGCTTCTCAAATATGGCAGACCCTTCCCCACCTCTAGGACTCTGCCTAGACTACCTTTCCCCTAGATACTTTCCATCACCATGCCAAATACTGAATCCCCAGAAAGCCCTTCCCTGGCTCTCCAAGTGAGAGCTGCCTTCCTGCCCTCTCTAGTCTCCTGGCCTCCACAGCAACTCTCTTTCCTTTCTATGTCATAACGCTGTTTCATTTTCCTCCTTGCACATCTTATTATTCTCAAAACTTATCTTCTTTCCTTGTTTATTATCTGTCCCCTCTTAAAATATAAGCCTCATAGGCTGGGCGTGGTGGCACACTCCTTTAATCCCAGCACTACTTGGGAGGCAGAGGCAGGTGGATCTCTTTGAGTTAGGCCAACCTGGTGTCCATAGCAAGTTCCAGGCTAGCTGGGGCTACAGGGAGACACCCTGTTACAAACAACAGCAACAACAACAAACTTCCTAGGCTGGCAAGTATATATGCCTCATAGGGCAGAAGCACTGTCTGTCTTGCCTTCCTCTCCATTTCTAGCATTTAGGATGTCAGTGCCTGGTATATAGTAGATGCTCAATAAATATTTCGTAAGTAGATTAATGAACAGAGGCAGCTATCAGTGCAGGACCAAACTGAGTAAGCGGTGGAAAAGTGCCACCTCTTTGTTAACTCTGACCCTCCATATGTCTCCCAGACCAAACTGGGTTCTCCTCGAAGGCAGGCTCCTGAGCTTACTTATTTTGTAGTTAAAGATTATACTAAAAATTGGTCCTGGATGGGGAATGGAGCAGAAAAGGGCATCCTTGATCCTTAAGCATGTGTGTATGCAATAAGAACTAAAGAAAACCCACACAACGGCCATGCTAATTCAACTAAATAAGACTAGGACACTCTATCCTTGATTCACTACACAACCTGTATCCATCACACGAGGAAAGTAAGCAAATAGCTTCTTCATGCCAGTCTACACATTGCTTATACATAATGTGGAAATACTTTTAGAAATCCAAGGATTTTTTTTTTTTTTTGGTCTTTTTGAGACAGTGTCTCCCTATAGCCACAGCTGGCCTAGAGCTCACTATGTAGACCAGGCTGGCCTTGAACTCACAGATCCTCCTGCCTCTGCCTCCTGAGTGCTGGGATTAAAGGTGTGTGCCACCACACTCAGCTTTAATCCAAAGGATTTTTAAATATCAATGTTCAAATTCTATTTCTAGAGCTGAAAATAAAGATGCTTGCTGTAATTAAAAAAAAAAAAATTGGGCCTGGAGAGATGACTCAGTGGTTAAGAGCACTGGCTGCTCTTGCAGAGGACCGAGTTTCATTTCCCAGCACCCACATGGCAACTAACAATCATCTATAACTCTAGTTACAGGGGACCCAACACTCTCTTATGGTCTCCATGGGCATTGCATGCATGTGGTGCACTTACAGGCAAAACATGTACATAAAATACAAGTAAACTTAAAAAATAATCAGCAACCAGTATCATTATCACCTACAAATCAGAACATGGAAATAATATTCCAGAGGTCTATATATTTTCCATGATCACCCTTTAGTTGTTGGATGATAGGGAAGTGCGATGAGGTGCCCCAGGGCTGAGGATAGCATCTACTTACCAGTAGGTATATGAGAATTTCAGTATTTTATTTATTATTATTATTATTATTATTATTTTTTTTTTTTGGTCTTTTTGAGACAGAGTCTCCCTGTAGCACCAGTTAACCTGGAACTCACTATGTAGACCAGGCTGGCCTTGAATTTACAGAGATCCGCCTTCCTCTGCCTCCCAAGTGCTGGGATTAAAGGCATGTGCCATCACACCCAGCAAGAATTTCAATATTTTAATTGTGATCCAGCCTCATATAAGGTAAGAAATGAGCTCAATCTTATGTATGCTGCACTAGTTTAGGACATTCAGTCTGGGGCAGCTAATCTGCTTGGTGCCTTTAGGGTCTCCCAAGTCAATTTCCCCTTTCTCCCAGGGATATATACACTGTGCCACATATATTTCTACCAATGAGGAAGGAATTGTAGAAAGAGTGTTCAAGGACCAGAACAGATCAAAACTTTAAGGCAGCAGGTAAGCACTTGTGTATTTTCCTGACAAGGGGCACGACAGTCATATTTGAACTCACTGCAAGCCCCAAGAACCTTTCCAAGTCAAGAGTAGAAGGTATAGTTCATCACATTTTCCCTACCCTTTCCTGGTAGGTGCTGACTTCTTTTCCCAGGGCACGGAGGTAGGAATCCCAGTCCTGTTTGGCCATCAGGTCAGGCCCAGGCAAGAAGGGACTTGTTGGGAGGGGACTCCTAATGTCAGGTGCTGGGCCAACCTTCCTTTGTTCCCACCTCCAGCATTCTCCCCATCGCCACCCCCATATCCCCACACCCCCAAGGATTCCCTGGAAGCTGAAGTGACTCAGGGATTCCAAAACTAGTCACCCCAGGAGGAAACCCTCTGGAAAATGTTTCTCATGACAGGGAGTCACCCTAAAGTGTCCCACAAAGCTGCTACAGAGATAAGGACTGAGGCTGAGCAAGCAGGGTAGGGTGGGGGCATATACTTGGAAGGACACTCCTCCACCTTCCTTCTAGGGCTTTCCTCTGGCCTGAGGTACAGAGGCAGGTAGATAGCCCAAACACCTCTTGTGAAGAACAGTATCCCAATCACCCAGGCCAATTCCTTTCTGTGGTGTCAGCAGTTGAAACACCAACCTGGGATCACGTTCAGTACCTAGGAACACAGCCTTCTACACAGGGCCAACATCAGGAAGTTTGGGTCAAGTTCTGCATCCTTGGCCCTGGGTTATGATTAGGGAAGACCTATTGGACTCCTGCTTTTGGGAACAAACATCACTGCCTGCTAAAGGAGCCTATTCTGGTCTTTGGGTTGCTTAGGAACACAAGAAGCCACCTGAGGCCATGTGCCAGACAAAAGGCTGGGGAACAGGAAGCTGAAACGATGGAACCCAGCCAGCCGGGCTGAATGCCAAAGTGGGCAGGAATGCCCTGTGGTCTTGGGCAGGTGCAAATGAAACATGTCCAGCCCAAGTCCAGGGGAATAGGAGTGCATTTACTTTGGGGGCTTCCCTTTTATCTACAGCCAGATGAGGACTGACTCAAGCCAGGAGCTTAGATTTGGAATTCCTAGAGGTCGGAATGGAAAACTAGCATAGCCTCTCTCTAACTTTGTGACCTTGGGCAGGTTACTAAATTTTGTTGGGTCTTGTTCTCCTCATCTGTAATATGAGGATTATAGTTTGTTTTGTTTTGTGTTGTTTTGGTGTTTTTTGAGAAAAGCTCTCCCCGTAGCTCCAGATGGCCTGGAACTCACTATGTAGACCAGGCTAGCCTCGAACTCACAGACCCGCCTGCCTCTATCTCCCAAGTGCTGGGATTAAAGGCATGTGCCACAATGCCAGGCTTCATATCATGGTTTTATCTTCAGGATAAAATAAGATAATTAATGTCCAGGGCTTAGCACCATGTCTAGCACATTAAGGACACAGGAACAAGGCCATCAGTTCCTAAAGTGAGATGATGCCTTGGGAGCACTGGAGCAAGGGTGGTGTGCATGAGTTGAAGATGCTCCTGGCCTCATTGTTCTTCTTGAGTGCTAACCTGGGCCACCACTGGTTTCTTCTAAGCACCTCCCACAGTTTCAGGCCCTTCAAGTCACCAAAGCAGCTGCTTTATTTTTTATTTAAAAAATTTTTTGCTTTATTATTATGTTTTTAAAAGATACTTTATTTACTATCCTTATTTTATGTGAATATGTGTATTGCCTGCATGTGCGTACCTTTGTCATGCAATGCCCATAGAGGTCAGAAGAGGGTGTCAGATCCCACGTGTGCTGGATAGCTTTAGTGTCAACTTGACACACCTGGGTTGAGGGAGCCTCAATCGGGGAATTGCCTCTATTGGACTGGCCTGTGGTCATGTCTGAGGGGCATCTTCTTGATGAGTGATGTGGGAGGGACCAGCCCACTGTGGGTGGTGCCATCCCTGGGCAGGTGGGCCTGTGTTGAATAAGAAAGCAGGCTGAGCAGGGGCCAGGGGAGCAAGCCAGTAAGCAGCGTTCCTCCAGGGCCTGTGCTCCAGCTCCTGCCTCCAGGTTCCTGCCCTGAGTTCCTACCCTGGGCTCCCTGATGAGCTGCGATGTAAGCTGAATAAACCCTTTCCTCCCCAAGTTGGTATTGGTCAGAGTATTTTGTCACAGCAGTGAAGAAACAAACTAGGACACCATGGAACTGAAGTTGCAGACAGTTGTTAGCTGCCGTGTAGGTGCTGGAATTTGAACCAGGGTCTTCTACAAGAGCAGCCAGTGCTTTTAACCGCTGAGCCATCACTCCAGCCCCCAAAGAAGCTTCTTTAACTTTCCAGGATACCCTCCGTCATCACACCTCTCTTTTGGGACTGCTTGGTCCTATAGCATTTGACAGAGTAGCCCTCTGTAGTGTAAATTACTCCTAGTTCCCTTTGTTTACTTCCTGAGTCCTTGGTTACTTCAGGAGTATTTTCTGAGGGAAAGCACATGCAAATCAGTAAACATGATTCTAGAGACAATGTGTACGAGTGTATTGAGGTGGGGCCGACAAGAAGAGAAAGTCCTGGAGAGAGCGCTCTGGTCCGTTCTGCACAGTCCTTCCCAGCAGCTTGAACCTTGACTGGCCAGTGTCTTTGGGATCAGCCTTTCTGGAGCACACATACTCTTTCCTGGCCAACAGGGCCCTGTGCTGAGGCTGAGTGGGCTCTGCCATGGCAACTATCCTTGCTGTGAGCCTTGTCCCCAAGGCCCTGTGAGTCAGGGTGAGACCTCTTGCTGGGTCTTAGATAATACTCTGCTCTTTCCCTTGCTTGCTTTCTCATTTGTGCAGTGGGGACAGTCACCCACAGCTTCTTCCAGGCTTTGCCCATCCAACCAACAAACTCCTGCAGTCACACCCTTCTGGCAGGGGTGAGGGCTGCATCCTTATCCCAAAGAAGAGGCCAGGGAAAGTCTGGGAACAGGAATAGGAATGGGGAGGACAAGGGGCGAAGTTCGGGTGCAGTAATGGGCAGTAAGGGGGAATTCATAGATGAGTTGGGGGCCATCAAAAGTGAGAAGGAGTCAGAGAACAAAGGGGATAGAGGTCAAAGGACATGAGGAGGGCAGTGTTCACTAAGGCAGCTAATCAGGGACTCTAATGAAGAGGAAAGATTGGGAGGTCAGCTGCTAGGTGGGAGTAGCAGAGGTCTTGGAAATGATGCCTCTGGAAGGGAAGCCAGATGACATTCTCTAATTTAAGGTAACAAACCACCAGGGGAAGTTCCCATTATGCCAGTTCACAAAGACAGAAGAGTAGAATGCTATTGCTGCGACCCCCGCCCGGAAAGTGCAAAGAGCAAAGTTTACCCAATCAGCTGCCAAGGCTGGTAATGATGGTCATCACAGCTTCCATGAGAGTGGCATTTTAAACAGCTTTTGAAATGCTTTCAGGGTTTTCCTTTTTTTTTTCCTTCTTTTTTTTTTTTTTTAATCTCAGGTCACTCCCTCCAAAAGATAGTGGAAATAAATTTGAATAAACAAAACAGGTTTGCTGAAAATAAAACCAGGACTCCTCAACTGCTCCAGTCAGCCTGCTTCCAGAGGCCTATCAGTTAGGGCAGCACCTGTGGCTGAGTGAGCAGCATCAGGCATGTACCAGGTAAGAGCCCTGACGTCTGACAGACGGCTTGCTGAGAGAGAAAGGAGCAGAGATGCTGCTGAGTGTGTAAGGAGGCTAAACTCCAAGCTGTAGGGTCTCAGGGAGCAGTTGGGGGGCACCTCAGATGGGTTGGGGGCCTAGAGTAGGTGAAAGCAGCTCCCTCAGTCGCCTTTGCTTGCAGGTGGTTGCGTTCTTGGTAATGATCGTGGGAACCCACACCCTCAATTTGCGGATACGGAGGGACTGCGGCCGCCGCTGGAACTGCTTCTTCGGCAAAGGACAAGAGCCCTCTGAAGAGTGGCTGGTGCAGAACACTGTACCTGTGTCTCCCCCGGAGCCTGCGAGCCTCACCCACCACACAGAATCCTGCAGGGCCAGCGAAGATGGACCTCTCAACAGCAGGTCCATCTCCCCTTGGAGCTATGTGTAAGTCTACTACTGTCCCCTTCCTGAATGTATGCGTGTGCCCCCCCCCAGGGGATGTGTGAGGAACCAGGGGAGTTCTACCCAATTCTAGTCTACCAGCCCCTTTTAATTGCAGAAAGGCCAGGAAGGTTTGGGAATTACACACGCCTGCATTTGAGTCTCAGCTTTGATGGTCCTTGCATTATGTTGGGTGAAATTTTGAAAGCTCAGGGATTCCCTTCCTTCCTTCCTTCTTTCCTTCCTTCCTTCCTTCCTTCCTTCCTTCCTTCCTTCCTTCCTTCCTTCCTTCCTTCCTTCCTTCTTCTTTTAGTCTGTAAAATGACATTTTATTATATAGGCTAATATATATATCAAATGAAATAATGTATGTAAAGCCTATATTTTCGTGGATTTTGTTTCTTCTTATTTTGTCTCTACCACGACTTATGCTTTTTAAAAAATATTTTATTTATTATTTTTATTTTACATGTCTGAGTGTATTTCCTGCATGTATGTAAGTGTGTCTGTGTTGTGCAATGCCTGCAGAGGTCAGAAGAGAGTGTCGGATTTCCTGGAACTGGAGTTATGGACAGTTGTTAGCCGCCATGTGCTTGCTGGGAACTGAACCTGGGTCCTCTGCAAGAGCAAGCAATGCTCTTAACCACTGAGCCATCCATCTCTCCAGCCCCAGTGATTAATGTTTTTCTATCTCAAATATCTAGCAATAATGTAAGATGTAGGCAGGTACAAAACAACCCTGTGCCAAACTCTGTGACTAGGGTAGTGAAATCCTCAACTAGGGTAGGTCGGTGGCTAGATCTCTAGGTTTTATTATCTTTAATCAAAATCACAGTTATTTCAGTCTTTTGCACAGTGTATCATGTAAATATTGTAATTCCTTATTTGTGCTATGATGTGAAATTGGGACAAAAAACAATATTACAAATTAGGGCCTTGATGATCCCAAACACATTTCTTCAGTCTTTACCTTCCCCAGGGTTCTGGGTTCCCACTTCCCATGTGTCTGTTCTGCTTAGCCTTGTCTTGGGGGGTGTGGAGAAGTTCAGTGGTGTAGGGAGCTGGTCTGCTTTAACTGAGATTAGGTCTAAAGTATAGTTTATAATGCTCTGGAGTCAAAAATGATGATGTCAAGTGGGTTTGGGAAAGCCTCTTGCAGCCCTTTGAAAATTTCCTATTGCTCAGCACATGTTAAAGTTCTTAAGAAGTCTGCAGGAACAAAACCGGCAGTGTTTCTCAAGCCCATTTACCTCAGAAGCTATTCTTTTTCAGGGTAGATTTTAGGGAATTTACTTTGGGAAATGCTGGGCCCCAATTTTCCAGGGGCTGTCTGTATGGGAAAGGGTTCTGCAGTGTGGAACTTTCCTGCGGAGCTCTTGGATTCTGTACCTTTTCAGTATCTTCTTCTCATTGTTTTTGTTTTTTTGCCACAAAATATCTCCTGAATAGGTAAAGAAGTCTCCATGACCCTAAATGTGCTTGTAATACATATTTGGACAGTTTCTGGAAGGGTATACAGGAAGCAACTCTCGCTGGGGAGTGGGAAGAATATTGTTAGTCTAGAGTGCATATTCTTTTATACTTGGCTGTCAGGCAGGATTTTTTTTGTTTTGTTTTGTTTGAGACATGGTCTCATTCTATAGCCCAGGCTGGCCTGGAAATCACTATGTGGCCTAGGCTGGCCTCAAACACACAGCAGTCTTCTTGCCTCAGCTACCATGCCTGGCTCAGACAAGTTTTTAGTTTTACAGTAATAGTAATTAAAACCCCCCAAATGTAATGAATACACTAAGAAACTTCATGCATATCAGACACAAGCAGAGCTGGTAGAGGCTGATGGGAGGGTGCTCACCTTCCTCTGGCTTCTATAAGAAGGAAGCTTGGCCACCACCTGCCACTCAGGGTCATGTGGAAAGCTACTCTTTGATACCTACCTACCTGTACCTATAGTTAGAGGAAATAAACTTCAGAGAGGAAGGGGACTATAGTCTAAGGTATACAGTAAAGGGTGCCAGAACAGACAAGAAACTGAGTCCCAACCATACCATTTCCTTCCTCCAGATTTGTCATCCCACCTGCCTTCCCAGCCCCTGGCCTGCCCTTCCAGGCCTGATCAGTTCCATCCCCCACAGGTTGGACAGGGACTTGAACCGGCTCCCACAGGACCTGTACCAAGCGCACTGCCTATGTCGACACTGCGTCAGCCTAAAGACAGGCTCCCACATGGACCCCCTCGGCAACTCAGAGCCACTCTACCACAATCAAACGGTCTTCTACCGGCGGCCATGCCAGGGCAAGGAGGGTTCCCATGAAGGCTACTGCCTGGAGCGCAGGCTTTACCAAGTTTCCTTGGCTTGTGTGTGTGTGCGGCCCCGTGTGATGGCCTAGTGGTGCCTGCCACGTGCCCGAGGCTGGTCCCTTGTCGGGAAGATGAGTCCGGTGTCCAATCACCTTGCCACCGTGGGCTTAGGTACCTGAATGCTTGGGGCCTCCAAAGCTCTACCTGGAGCGGCAGGACCCTGGGACAGGAGGGGCTTGGGGAGAAACCCACACTTTGGAGGCACTTTTTGGAGGCACTTTTCAAATGGCGCTGCTTCAGTGTACGGCTGCTCAAGATGGTATCTTGGCTTTCCCTCTCAGGAAAAGTCTTCAACGCTCTGCCCATCTCTGGAAGCCGTGTTCCCGGCTTTTCCTTCTCTCTGAACTCCCTGACCCAGCACAGGCACTTTCTCCATATTTTCCCCTTTGCCCTTTATTTCATTTGTTTGTTCATTCATTTACTCAGTGAACATCGACTTTGCACACACCAGGTGTAATTACTAGTTCTTTGATGTGGATCATTCTGAGGAGGAAACTGTTATTGAACATAGAGGGATTTATCCAAATAAATATATGTATTTAAAAATGGTCTCATTTGTCATTGGCATCCATGGTACCTGAACATCCTGCAGTTCCCAACTGGGTCCTTTCTCCTCTCTAATACCACCCTTCATCTACCGCCCACCCTGCCACTCTCCCTGGTCTCCAGAATGTCCATGGCATCCGCCCATCTCCTCCCCTCACAAGTCCCCTGGTCCATCCCCGAACACGAGGGTGGGGGTCAGACAGCTCCACATGCTGGAGAGACAGAAGCCCATTGAGGCACTGCAGTAGGCACACAGCGCCCCCTTGTCTCCCCAACAATCTGCCTTTGTCCTCTGGTCCTGGCTGTTGCAGCTTGGTCCTGGGGGTGCTGCCTGGGCCAGGCTCCAGCTCCTACCTCCCTTAAAGGAAAAGAGAAAGGCCCAGCTAAAGAAGAACGTTAGGTTATGGAAGGGGGGACATAGGTGTCTTCAGGCTTATGTTGCTGGTGAACTCCTCACTCTACTGTCTGTCCCTGTCTCTCTGCTTACCTCCTAGCTCCTCTAATTTCTTTCCCACTTCCTTCTGTCCCTTTTCTGTCCTTCTCTAGACTGGGTTACGCTGGAGGAAGAGGAGGGTTAAACCATGGCTCTCTTACTCCTCCCCATTCCTCCTAGGGGCCTTGCAACCACTCTGGGCAGCTGTGTGAAGCCAATCTGGGCAGGCCTCCCCTCCCTGCAGACTTCCAGAGCCCCACAGCAAGCCCCAGCTTCAGCTCCAGGCTCTCCAAGTGCCTTCTTGTTCCTGTCTGCTTTCTTATCCACCAGGTTTCTGTTTCCCTTCCTGGGCTTTTGGGGGTCGGGTGTGGGAGGGTCTGTGTCTTATGGGCCTCACAGAGATGTTCAGTGCTTGGGATCGCCGGGACCCACCCCCAGAGCAAGGAGCAGCTGCAGAGCTCCAGGGCTTCGGTGTGGACAAGACCTTCCTGTCTTCTTTCAAAGGCATCCTGCTGGAAACTGAGCTGGTAACAGCTGCCTCCCCAACCTGGCACCTCCATCTCTCCCATCCCTGCTCCCTAGCCCAGGCCTGTCTGGCCCCCAGGATCACCAGTCAGCAGGCCCCTTCCCAGGCTTTCTGTGTTTCTGCTCCTAGCTATACCTTCTTCAAGTCCTCATCAGCTTTCTTGCTGCCTCTCCATCTGGAGCCAGTTACAGCAGACTGTTCAGTTCCTGCAAGACTGATTGAAGTTAGATGGAAGGACAGCTTTCTGAGACCCTGAGGGGGTGTGAAATATAGGGAGGGATGAACAGGAGGAATGCTGGCCTGTCTCCCTCCAGCTTCTAGGAGGGCTACTTCTTGGCCTGCCTAAGAGGTTCAACTATCCGAAAGGGCAGCCAGCTGCTATGCTTTAGCTGTGGCCCACGGAAGGACATGTATTCCAAGGAAAGGAACTTTCCCTGGTTACTTAGCAAGACCACAGGGCCACCCCAGAACCTCTGTTTCTCTGCCATCCTTATAAGCAAGGACACCTACAATCTAAGTCTTATCTCTCAGCATGGAATCAAAGGCTCTGGCTCCTATTGTCTAAGTTTTAGGCATCTGGAGTGGGAAAGCATTGTGGGGCAGAGGTGCTGTGGGCACAGCTCCAGAGGCTGGTGTGTGCATTGTACTGTGTGCTCCGGGAGACACCACTCTAATACCCCTGGGGCTGTGCAGATTGAGAGTTGCTGGGATTCCTGGGATGACAGGAGTGGGAGGTTGGAGAGGCCCTCAATGGGCAGAAGCCCAGAATGGTGGTCCCACGGATGGGCTACTTCTTTGTCTTCAATGAGAAGAACTCTGCCTTCTCAATGACATTGGGTAACATGTGCCAGCTAGGCAGAGGGGGCTCCTGGCCTGTGCATGTGTCTCCTTCCTAGCAAGACCCCCCCCATGCTTGGTCCTTCAGGTTCTGACCTTCATCATCTTCATCTGCTTCACGGCCTCCATCTCGGCCTATATGGCCGCAGTGATGCTAGAGTTCTTCGTCACCCTCGCCTTCCTCTTCCTCTATGCCACCCACTACTACCAGCGCTTCGATCGGCTTAACTGGCCTTGTCTGGTGAGGAACCCTGCCTCTCCCACCCTGTCCTGGTCCTTTCCTTCTCTCTGATTGCCAAATTTTCCTTCTGTCTCTCAGCATCCTTCCATTTTTACACCCGGGCTGTGCCTTGCCCCATGCTGTGTCCTATACTCAAAAGTGAGCTTTGACCACACAGATTTCCCCCAGCAGGGCCCCTGCCAATGAGGACATGTAGCCCTTAGGTCTGCCTTCCCACTCATCAAAGGCTTTGCTCTACCTGGCTGTGTTGGCTGGTATACCCCTGCACACCCTGGCTGTTCCAGAATCAACTGCTTCCAGGTTCTGGGTAGCATTGTGAGCTCACTCTCTTCAGAGTACTTGATATATATATCCAGGAACATTCTTGTGTAGGAATTCTGAGTCCCAAAGGATCAGGCTGGGAATGTTTGGAAAACCTCTAGGTGATGCCTCCCCCCATTGCCTCTGGCTTCCCAGGACTTCCTCCGCTGTGTCAGCGCCATCATCATCTTCCTGGTTGTCTCCTTTGCTGCTGTGACCTCAAGGGAGGGAGCTGCCATTGCTGCTTTTGTGAGTCTTATCCTTGCAGGGCTCTCCAGCCCTCCAGGACCTGTGACTGGTGTTGGCATACTTCCTGTGTCCAAAGCCAAAACCAGTGCCTGTTCATACCTCATTCCATCCCACTCATTTCTGTCTTCTAAACCAACAGTCTCTACTGTGCTATCCCTGCTCCTCCTCCCGCAGGTTTTTGGAATCATTTTGGTTTCTGTCTTTGCTTATGATGCTTTCAAGATCTACCGGACTGAGCTGGTGCCCAGGGCCACCCAGGGTGAGTGTCTGTTCCGTGAGAAAGAAGATGCCCCTGCCTCTGCCCCATAAACCACAGTCAGATATGGCTTACATGGTTGCATCTTCACAGGGGACCAGCAGTGATTCCAAGGTTACCTGGCTCCCAAGACCAGATGTTTTTCCTTTGGATTCGCTGGACTTTGGTGCCCATCACCTACCCCATGCCTACAGAGATGTGTGCTTGAGGAATCACTGGGGACATATCTGTGGAAACTGGTGTTGTGGGGGTTTGTACTTGATGAAGTTCTAGGGACTGGGTGTAGGTTGCTGTGCCCCAAGTCATTCCCAAATTAAAACATTCAAACCTTAGTAATGAGTCTTTTTCTTTCCTAGAAATTGGACATATTAGGAATGCCAAGGGGTATTTACAGAAATGTCCAAAGCAGCCATGGCCCCTCTCTGGGGGTTAGGGAGTGGGATTAGCTTGAAGAAATTGAAGATACACTTCAAGGGAAAACTTCCGTGCCTCAGCCTGACACATCAGAGGACAGAGAGATTCCCAAACGGCTGTGTGCCGGATCTGGATGCCTGGAGATGGGTCTGATGCAAGCAAAGAGAAGCAGCCGACCTGTTGGGCTGGCCTTGAGGTGCTTGCTGGGGCGCATGTAGAGCTCCCCCTTGTGGTGTGGGGATGACTTGGCTGGCAGACAGTAGGGGAAGAAGTTCCTAAGATACACTAGAAGAGCTCTTAGATAGGAGCTGGTCCAGGGCTCTCATTCTACGTAAGAGAAAACTGGGGCTTAGTTAGGGAGCAGTGACTTGCTTATATGTTGCAGAGCTAAGGCTAGAGTAACTTGACATAGTACTAGAATGGTCTTGACTTAAATAGGTTTTCTGGATACTGCCCTGAGCCCCTTTGAAGCTCAGAAAACAGGGGCCCAGCCCTTCACCAGTGGGCCTACCTTCCCAGCTTGCTGCTTCCTCAGAACACATTTCCTGAGTGTTTTCTGTGTGCAGCCCCTGTGCTTAGCACCAGAGATTCCGAGGAGGCAGACCGCCTGGTGAAAGGCTCCCTACAGTGAAAGCTGTGGGCCAGCTCGGCTTGTAGGAGTTTGAAGTGGGCGCTGCCTGGTCTGTAACAGTCCTGTGCAGCCAGCACTTTCCTGCCCAGCTGCAGGAGCCCAGCATGGCCCAGCTATGGGGCTCCACCCAAGCTGCCTTGTCCCCTCTCTTCAGTGCTTGTTTGCTCCTGCCCTGAAATGCCTTTCTTCTTCTGGGATGTGCTTTCCAGTGACAAGCCCCAGCCCCAAGCCATCCTGTCCTGCCATCCTTGTGTTCTGGTACTTCAAAGGCCTGGCAGCTGCTCCAGGGAAGGAACCAATCGGACTTGTGTTTCTTTAGATTCTGTTCATGGTTCTCAGGCTTTATGCATAGTCTACTCTGGAGACTAATTGACTGACCTTGCCAGAGGGGCAGAGACAGGATGGGCATAGTCTCAGAGAAGAGATGGAAAAGACTGGGCAGGGGAGTCAGGGAGAGGGGTGTGGGTGAAAGGATGAGAAGGTGATCTGAAGAGTCTTGCCTAAAAGCCAGAGGGCAGAAGGAGAGCACAGCTCCATCCCATAAACAGCTGTGTGGCTGGTCCCCAAAGGAGCTCAGAGAGAGCTGGCATGTGCCTAATACCTCTGTGTGTCTGTGTGAGGGAATAGAAGATGAGGACTGTCCACGTTTGGTCCATACCCCATACTGGTTTGGGCTCAGTATTAGCTGGCTCCAGAGTCCTGGGATGTCCTCATGGTGAGGTCTGATCCACAGAGGCTGGGATGGATGCTGGAGGAGGAGAGCTGGGAAGGTGAAGTGGCAGTGATGGTGGTGTTGGTATGAAGACATGCCCTGAGGTCTACTTCTAAGGGGCTGAGTAGGGGTTCCTATCCCACAGCCATTTCCTGCACTTCCACCCGCAGCTGAATAGACTCTTCTGGCATCAGTGGGAAGTCCATTTTTGAAAGAACTGCTATCTCAGGACAACTTTACTCCTTGCATCCTCAGAGGTGGAGTACGGAAGGTGGAAGGGGCTTCTACCTCAGCACCAAACTTCTGGTTCTCACTGTCTGGAATTGGAGTACCCTTTGGTGCCTTTGTTATCTCTACTTTTTAATTTGAAAATTATTTTTACTTATTTATTGATCTTTTTGAGACAGGATCTCCCTGTAGCCACAGCAGGCCTGGAACTCACTATGTAGACCAGGATGGCCTCGAACTCACAGAGATCCGCCTGCCTCTGCCTCCAGAGTGCTGGGATTAAAGGCATGCACCATCATATATATTTTTTTAATGTGTGTGTTTTGCCTGCATGTATGCAAGAGTGCCTGTGTCATGCAATGGCTGTGGAGGCCAGAAGAGGGTGTCAGATCCCCTGGAACTGGAGTTATGGATGGTTGTTAGCTGCCATCTACATACTGAGGAATGAACCTAAGTCCTCTGCAAGAACAGTCAGTGCTCTTAACCACTGAGCCATCTTTCCAGGCTCCTCCCTCCTTTTTTTGGTTGTTGTTTTGTTTTTGAGGCAAGGTCTCATGTCACACAGGCTGGCTTTATAGCTGAGGCTGCCTCTTACTTCCATCTCCAAAGTGCTGGGGCTACTGGCTTGGGCTACCACACCTGGCTTTTGTTTTTCCCACTTTTGAAATTTTCCCTTTCCTTCCTTGTGTGGTTAACCAAGCACAGCTGGGACTATGGTTGTACTGTCTCAGGCAAGGCACCTCACTACTTTGGGCTTGGTCTCCTCAGATATGGGGTGCTTTTTGCTCCCACAACTCTAATACAGAGGCTGTGGCCACCCTCCCCCTGGGCCTCCTGCTCCAGCATGGACAGCTGGTGGGAAAGACAGAGGACGAAGGCAGAGTCAGGCATTATGTTTATTGTGGGGTAACAACAGCAAGCTTCTGCAGGTAGTGTCACTCCTCCTCGTGCATTTTCTGCTGAGAAAGGAATGAGAGGTGAGTGTGATGGGCAAGATAGCCAGGAGAGGTGTCCCTAGAGGTCTCAGGGCCTAAGGGAGACACCATTGGAAAGGGAGAGTTTAAGCCTTAGAGATCTTGAAATCTTGTTACAGGTGCTTATACTGAGTAGGAGAGTGGCTTCTCAGGTATGGGTGTCTGTGGGACCCTTAGGTTACACTTGTGGCCCTCTGATACGCTGTCTCTTCTGTAAATTTACATGTACACATAGGGATACCTATATAGCTAACTCAGAGGGTCATTCATGCCAGGGGGCACGCTGATGTGGGGATGACTGGAAAAGTTCAGGGGAGGGACCTACCTTGGCACCAATATCGCGACTCTTGGCCCGCAGCTTGTTGACCTGGGACTCGGCAATGTCTGCCCGCTCCTCCGCCTCATCCAGCTCGTGTTGCACCTTGCGGAACTTGGACAGGTTGGTGTTGGCCTGCTCCTCCTATGAGTAGAGGGGATGGGTGAGTGGAGCCATTTGGGAGAAGCTCCTAGCCTCTCAGAGTCCCTGTCCCTGAGCCATTCCTCACCAAGTCCCTGCAACAGCCTTCCTAGGGATATCCTGCACCTGGCTTGGTAGTGTCCTGCACCTGGCACCCTCCTCAAAGTTGTTTAGCACTCAGAATCCTCCAAGGCCACCCACTGCCCAGGATGAATCCAGGCTGCCTGGCATGCCTCCTCAGAATCCAGATTCACCGCACCTGTTCCAAGTGTTACTCAGCTAGATGCCTGCTGACCTGAGGGCTTTCTGCACAGTTGTGCTCATCCACACCTCATACCCATACTTCTATGTCCACCCAGACGTCTTCCCTTCTACTCTACCCTCTTAGGCCCCCTTCCAGGCCTGATTCCAACGCCTGGCCTCTTTCCTGTCTTCAATACCTGCCCCTGTCCTGCACTTAGCATCTCCACTGCCTCCCCCTGGGCTTATGGTACATGGACCGTAAGCAGCTGGTGGGCAGGTACAGGCTCAGATGCAGCAGTGCTTTGAACTCAGGGTTCTTGACATAGTCCAGAGTACACTAGACATGTAGAATAAATGTCTGAGAGATAAACATTGGAGCAGACCCTTGTCCAGGCCCCAGGTGGCAGATACGCACTGACTCTTACACATAGTAGGAAGGTTGATAAAAGTGGAAGAGAAAACTGTCAACTCACCGCTTCCTCAGCCTGGCGCTTGTAGGCCTTGACCTTCAGCTGCAGCTTGTCCACCAGGTCCTGTAGCCGCAGCAGGTTCTTCTTGTCCTCCTCTGTCTGGAAGTAGGTGGGTGGAAGAAGCCAGTTTGGGGAGAGGAGCAAGTGCAATCACCATCCCCTCTGCCCAGGTCTCAGCTGCTCTTCCCTCCAGTGGCTCAGGTCAAGGAGGTGCTAGGTCTACTTGTAGGTCAAAGGGGCAAGCTTTTCAGTCCACAAAGCAATGAATGTTGGGGTGCTGGGAGTGAGGGGAGGTGCTCAGAGCCAGGTAGAATGTCCTAATATAAACACATGGAGGAGGCACCCAGTCTGTTCTGCTCTGGCCTCTGTCTGGTGAATAGAGTTCCACCCTGCAGCAACATGAGGGCTCTTGGCCTGTGGTTCTGAGGTGATCAAAGAGGAGTAATAAGGAAGGCAGGAGAACACAGGTATTATCATTGTCTAGATTATTCTAATCCACATAGCCCAATATTCTAGCACATTCTCCTGAGCCAGAATTCAGGCAGTAGGGTCAGTGGCTCCAGTGTCACTTAATCATTCCTGTCTCCGTCTCATTGTGTGCACTAGGATGCCATTCCACTTTGTCCACAGTAGATTGGTGATGTTTTTTTATTTATTATTTTTTTATTTTATGTGTATGAGTGTTATGCCTGCATGTAAGTAAGTGTACCCGTGTTGTGCCATGCCGTGGAGGATAGAAGAGGCTGTTGGATTCCCTGGAGCTGGAGTTACAGACAGTTGTTAGCTGCCATGTGGGTGCTGGTATTTGAACCCGGGTCTTCTGCAAGAACAGTCAGTGTTCTTAACCGCTGAGCCATCTCTCCAGCCCCATAGATTGGTAATCTTTATCCTGTGCTTCTCGAATCCACCTGTCAAGTGACCAGTACTCCATCTCCTAAGTCCCCCATTCCTAAACACTGAAAAGAACGGGTCAAGGACAAACCCTCTGAGTTCTGCAGATGGAGTTCTTGGAACAACATTCTGAGAACTTTCTTACAGTCTTGGCTTCTCTTAGTTGTCCTAGAAGTTCCATGGAAGATCTAAGTTTTTTCCCTTGTCTGATTCTTGGTCCTAAAGTGTTGCATGGTATGTCTCCCTGTCTGGCTCCTAGGTTTACTACTGTAACACTTTGGATTACTAAAAAGTCTGGGGAAA